ATCACCATCTCCGATAACAGGGTCAGTTGAAGCGTTGTTCCAGGTGGGGAGCAGGTGCAGGTGCCCGGCCGGGGCAGTTTCACTGGCGCCAAAAATGGGTTGAACGGGGTGGAGGAAGAAGGAAAAGTGTGGAAAAGTGATGAAAAGTGTGGAGAGGAGGTGTCAATTGACATAATTTAAGGCATAAAACTTCTGGTCGTTGGATCAGTTTTGCCATGAGTTTTGCCATGTTTTTTTGTCATGTGTTTCCCCAGTTACTCGTAGTAAGTTAACCGGTTTACCCTTAAAGCCTGCCATGGACCTCAAAGGTGATCATCGCAGCCGTTTTAGAAACGCGCCCGGATGGCGGGTGAGCAGGATCCTACTGCAGCCACCACTTGTTGGATTCACAGGTGGGGTTGCAGAAAGTCGCTTGATGTCGCTTGCAGAAAGCTGGGAAACGTATGAGCAAAACTGAGCAAAACCAAGAAAAATTGAGCGCCAGTCGAGGAAAGTCCATCTCAGCACGCCAATGGTGAACTATTGAAGGTTGGGTCAACTTGGGTTTTGGCTCAAGCGCTCAAAGGAGAGTTTCTTTTCAAATTGGTTCTGCTAGCTAGCTGGAGCCATGTACTTTCCGATTCGCTTGCATTTGTTGGAGTTGAGGGCCGAGTCCATGGAAGCCATGTCACTCTTTGTCCCTCTTTGCCATGATTTGATGATCATTTCTATCACTTTGCAGCTGATGCTGATTGCATTGCTGCTACTGTACAAAATGTGGAGAGCCTTTCTCCATTGGCGCAAAGGAGTGGTGTTTTCATCCACCCTGGTGCCGACTTTGGACCAGCTGGTTCCATTGCCACATCCAAACCCTGTGTTGCTTTGGGCAGTGGAATGGGATTCAGACATTCGAACGATGGTGGAGGACCTGAAGAATGAAGGGCCCTCTGCGGTGGAACGCTACTGTCAGAATGAGGCCTTCATCCTGAAGCTCAGGAAAATTCTGCGCAACGTCGTGTCGAAGAACGACATGAGGCGTATTACGGAGGAGGTGATGATGAAGGAAGAAGTGGCGAAGTTTCACACGACCTGTCAGAAATCTGCTAAAGAGGAGGATGAAGACTTCAGGGCTTGGCAGGCCATGATGCAAAGCCATCGATGGTCAGGGACCAAATGGGACCCAGCCCACTGAAGCCAATGTTGGTGCCGTGCCAGCGGCACAGCAGTGGCAACAAAAAACAGCTGCAGCCCTCGAGGAGGATGATGCAGAAGCGTTGCAGGAGATGCTGGCGGTGATGAATCGAAAACCCGGGGATGCCGGAAATGGCGCACAAGCCGCAACAGTCCTGCCAGTGCCTGCGGCACCGACAAGAGAACCAAACATTCCAGCGTCAGAACTGGAGGAAGAAGATGCAAGAGCCCTGCAAGAGATGCTGGCAGAGGTAAATGGTGAACCAACACCAGTGCAGGTGCCACCAGTCGCCATGAGTCAACCAGCGATCCCAGAATCAGAACTGGAGGAAGAAGATGCGAAAGCGTTGCAGGAGATGCTGGCTGTGATGAACCGAAAGCCGTTTGAGGCAAATGGAGCGACAGCACCAGTGCGTCCAGTGACTCCAGTGCCTCCAGTGCCTCCAGTGCCCACCACAGAATCTGTGAATGCAGCATCAATCCTTGAAGATGATGAAAAGGCGTTGCAGGAAATGATGGCCGTGATGTCCCGAAAACCATGTGAGGCAAAGAACGTGCCAGAGCCAGAGCCAATGCTCAGTGAACCTGCAAGTGCAGCGTCAGCCTTTGATGGAGATGACGCAAAAGCATTGCAGGACATGATGTCCGTGATGAGCCGAAATCCGCTTGAGGTCCAGGAGGAAGCTTTGTCTGAGCAAAGTGACGACACTGCTGATCTTTGGGCTCAGATGGAGGAATTGGAAGACCAGGGTGCAACCCTGGAAGAGCAGGCTCGCAAGTTTGTGTCCTTGTGTATGCCCAAAGGAAAGCTTTCATCTCGTGATGAGAAGAAAACCACCACTCACTTTTTCATTGGTGAGTCATTTGATGCCGAGGAGGAGCAGGAATTCGACAGTTTCTGGCTTGCCCTGGACGAAGATCTCTGCAACGGTGCTGAGATGATGCCGCAGGTTCAGAAACTGCTGGACTGCTTCGCCAAGCCGAAAGGCGCCAAAAATCCCAAGGGGCCACCCATGAGCGCCCAGTGTTCACATTTCTACATTGGTGACGAGGTGGAAGTCACTGAAGTCACTGAAGTCACTGAAGTCTTCAACAGTACCCAAGAGCAAGATCAGCAAGGCACCGTGCAGCAGTTTTACATTGGAGATGAGGATGTGCCTGAGATGAGCTTGCCTTGACATGCCTTGACTCCAACAACTGGAGAAAAAGGATGAAAAAGGTACTTTGCAAATCTTTGCAAGACTTTTCATCTCACTTGCAGTGATCATCCATGTTATCATGGATTTTCATGGATTTTCCATGAAATAAACCATCCAGCTACTCGGGTACCCCCATGGCTATCCATGGCTCTCACTTCTGGCTATTGATATTCCAGTTTCACCATTTTTCACCCACAAATTTGATGTTTTGTTTCCCATTTTCTCCCACAGCCACGCGGTGGCACCATGGCCGCGGCAGGTGGCTATGCCGAGGACACAGCATCCTGTCGATGGTGAGCATCCGGGGGACGGGGGATTTATGGTGAGCCAATTGTGTTAGGAATGTATGGTTAGGGCCAAAGGCTAATACTCAAGATGGACGGATCCCCAAACTTGGGTCCTTATATGTCCTTATTCACATCCGCAACAAAGACTTGTTGATAGGGTTTGAACTTCAATCCATTCCCATGTCCCATCCTTGAAACAACTGGGGAACGTATGAGCAAAACTGAGCAAAACCAAGAAAAATTGAGCGCCAGTCGAGGAAAGTCCATCTCAGCACGCGAATGGTGAACTATTGAAGGTTGGGTCAACTTGGGTTTTGGCTCAAGCGCTCAAAGGAGAGTTTCTTTTCAAATTGGTTCTGCTAGCTAGCTGGAGCCATGTACTTTCCGATTCGCTTGCATTTGTTGGAGTTGAGGGCCGAGTCCATGGAAGCCATGTCACTCTTTGTCCCTCTTTGCCATGATTTGATGATCATTTCTATCACTTTGCAGCTGATGCTGATTGCATTGCTGCTACTGTACAAAATGTGGAGAGCCTTTCTCCATTGGCGCAAAGGAGTGGTGTTTTCATCCACCCTGGTGCCGACTTTGGACCAGCTGGTTCCATTGCCACATCCAAACCCTGTGTTGCTTTGGGCAGTGGAATGGGATTCAGACATTCGAACGATGGTGGAGGACCTGAAGAATGAAGGGCCCTCTGCGGTGGAACGCTACTGTCAGAATGAGGCCTTCATCCTGAAGCTCAGGAAAATTCTGCGCAACGTCGTGTCGAAGAACGACATGAGGCGTATTACGGAGGAGGTGATGATGAAGGAAGAAGTGGCGAAGTTTCACACAACCTGTCAGAAATCTGCTGAAGAGGAGGATGAAGACTTCAGGGCTTGGCAGGCCATGATGCAAGCCATCGATGGTCAGGGACCAAATGAGACCCAGCCCACGGAAGCCAATGTTGGTGCCGTGCCAGCGGCACAGCAGTGGCAACAAAAAACAGCTGCAGCCCTCGAGGAGGATGACGCAGAAGCGTTGCAGGAGATGCTGGCGGTGATGAATCGAAAACCCGGGGACGCCGGAAATGGCGCACAAGCCGCAACAGTCCTGCCAGTGCCTGCGGCACCGACAAGAGAACCAAACATTCCAGCATCAGAACTGGAGGAAGAAGATGCAAGAGCCCTGCAAGAGATGCTGGCAGAGGTAAATGGTGAACCAACACCAGTGCAGGTGCCACCAGTCGCCATGAGTCAACCAGCGATCCCAGAATCAGAACTGGAGGAAGAAGATGCGAAAGCGTTGCAGGAGATGCTGGCTGTGATGAACCGAAAGCCGTTTGAGGCAAATGGAGCGACAGCACCAGTGCGTCCAGTGACTCCAGTGCCTCCAGTGCCCACCACAGAATCTGTGAATGCAGCATCAATCCTTGAAGATGATGAAAAGGCGTTGCAGGAAATGATGGCCGTGATGTCCCGAAAACCATGTGAGGCAAAGAACGTGCCAGAGCCAGAGCCAATGCTTAGTGAACCTGCAAGTGCAGCGTCAGCCTTTGATGGAGATGACGCAAAAGCATTGCAGGACATGATGTCCGTGATGAGCCGAAATCCGCTTGAGGTCCAGGAGGAAGCTTTGTCTGAGCAAAGTGACGACACTGCTGATCTTTGGGCTCAGATGGAGGAATTGGAAGACCAGGGTGCAACCCTGGAAGAGCAGGCTCGCAAGTTTGTGTCCTTGTGTATGCCCAAAGGAAAGCTTTCATCTCGTGATGAGAAGAAAACCACCACTCACTTTTTCATTGGTGAGTCATTTGATGCCGAGGAGGAGCAGGAATTCGACAGTTTCTGGCTTGCCCTGGACGAAGATCTCTGCAACGGTGCTGAGATGATGCCGCAGGTTCAGAAACTGCTGGACTGCTTCGCCAAGCCGAAAGGCGCCAAAAATCCCAAGGGGCCACCCATGAGCGCCCAGTGTTCACATTTCTACATTGGTGACGAGGTGGAAGTCACTGAAGTCACTGAAGTCACTGAAGTCTTCAACAGTACCCAAGAGCAAGATCAGCAAGGCACCGTGCAGCAGTTTTACATTGGAGATGAGGATGTGCCTGAGATGAGCTTGCCTTGACATGCCTTGACTCCAACAACTGGAGAAAAAGGATGAAAAAGGTACTTTGCAAATCTTTGCAAGACTTTTCATCTCACTTGCAGTGATCATCCATGTTATCATGGATTTTCATGGATTTTCCATGAAATAAACCATCCAGCTACTCGGGTACCCCCATGGCTATCCATGGCTCTCACTTCTGGCTATTGATATTCCAGTTTCACCATTTTTCACCCACAAATTTGATGTTTTGTTTCCCATTTTTCTCCCACAGCCACGCGGTGGCACCATGGCCGCGGCAGGTGGCTATGCCGAGGGCAGTGGAACACAGCATCCTGTCGATGGTGAGCATCCGGGGGACGGGGGATTTATGGTGAGCCAATTGTGTTAGGAATGTATGGCTAGGGCCAAAGGCTAATACTCAAGATGGACGGATCCCCAAACTTGGGTCCTTATATGTCCTTATTCACATCCGCAACAAAGACTTGTTGATAGGGTTTGAACTTCAATCCATTCCCATGTCCCATCCTTGAAACAACTGAGTACCCAGTGATGCCAGCGAGGTCGCCATTTATGCGCATCGCAATTGGTGGAGCTGTCCCAAAAGGGCCGCGCTGAGTAGGAGCCCCTGAAGCAGGGCCTGCCCCTGGAGGAAGAAGTGAAGGTCGCCAGCCAGTTCGATTCTTGAACAGGAAAGGCAAGAAATGACCCTCAGTCAACAGAGACATGGAGAGACTGATACTCCAGTTCTGCTGCGGATTTGATGATATGTGGGGCCTTTATCTCCTAAGTATGATGCTGATTGTACAAAGCTGATTGTTTGATTGTTTGCTTTTGGTTTTTGTGTTTCCGTTGCGGTTGTTCCTTTTGTTTCCTTTTGTTCTGTTCGCTCGCCTGAGGAACAGCATCTCATTCCAGAGCTGTGGCCGAGCAGCAACACTGTCAAACTCAGCAGGACGTGGCTGGTATAAGTGGGGATATTTCTGCCAAAAAAAAAAGCACCAGCACAATTGAAACATCAGCCGACCTACTGTTTGTTATCAGAAGAATATCAGGATTGATTATAATATATCAGGCGATCAATGGTGATCAACAAGTTTGAGAGTCTCTAAGCTGATGGCAGTTGTAATGAAATCTTTCTCAGCAAGTAGCATGACCTCTACACAATTGATCACAATTCTACCCACTTTTTTCGTGACCAACTTGACCAACTGTCCATGTTATCATCCTCGGTGCATGCTGAGAGCAGCCGTAGGAGTGCGATCTTCGATTGTCCAGCAGGTTGTCGATAGAAGTGGCCGCTTGGATCCAATATGATACAGTGATATCATGTTATATCAGTCACTATATAGTATATCAGTTGTCTCAGTCATATCAATGGTTATCTCAGATTATATCAGCTATATTGCTTGTAGACATCAAATTGGTATAAATTGGATTGAGTATAGAGAGTTGAATGCATTGAATGGAGGAAAGAGGAATCAAATGTATCCATCCAGGTAAGACAGCAAATCCAATCCGGGTAGACCTCCGACAGCTTGTTTCGTACTTTAATTTAACTGACTTTAACTGACTTTAATACGGTGTTTTATTTGTTATTTTTCTCGCTGTATGTTTATCTTTTGATCAATACTTTCCTTCTTGCTGATATACTGGTACAGTACGTATAACATTGTATAACATGATTTCATCATATTACCACACAAGTATACACTCGTATATACTCGCGTTTCTTATGGTCAGAGTATGCCAGAATGTCACAAATCAATCCCGAGGAAAGATCGTCACTGCCACAAGGCCCTCCCAGGGGACAGTCCTTGGATGGTAGACCTCACGTCCTGATGATCTCGTCCTGGTCATCAGGACGTGAAGTCTACCAGGTCTACCAGTTGACCTGAACAAGAATCATCTGACATTTGACATCTTGGCCCAGGGGCGGAGTATTGGCTGATCTTCCTTGCACGTGTCCCAGACACGACGCCATACCGAATCATCGGTGCAGTTCTATCGCCAGGCTGCTGACATGGAGCTTTAGAGCTGTCCTGCGAAAGTGTAGGTCGAAAGGGGAGCAACCCCCAACAGCACCAGATAGTGAGTTTTTTTCCGAAGATGAGACTATGAGATCTGGCACAGCTTAACAGCTGATGGTACTGCAAAGGCAGCACCGGTTTCACCCTGGAAAGCTGCTTGGCTTCAATCTGAAAGCACAAGATTGGCCATAGTGACTCCGCTGAGATTATGGCAGTTGTTGGGCGGCTCGGATCATCTCGGATCGCCGCAACAACCCGGGGAATGGTACGCAAGCGAGAAAAATTCTACGGGTATTCCATAGCATTCCAGCATTTTAAGGAAGTATTGACCACTCTGGCAGTTCAGTTTTTTAAAACTTCTTCGAAGATTGCTGGCAGTGAAGGGTGATAAATTGCTAATTGCAGGTGTCATCAACAAGCGGCTCTACATTTGTGGTGGGTTGGATGAAAGCAGGCACTGGGAAGTCGATTCTGGTCCCCAACCGTTTTTGGCACATCCAACTACTGGCTGCTGGTTTCAAAATGTTTCATGTTTTTCATCCACATTATTTTACAACATTTTACAACTATATTTGGGATATTCCCCAAAGACCCTCAATATTTTTTGGCATTTCTTGAAACTGTCAATCAGCAAATGGATGCAAATTGTGTCTTGAACTTCGGTTTTCAGGATATTTGTGTGGGAAATACAGACAGACATACTCGTTGGGTATTCAACGTATTCAACATCATCTTCAACCTCATTGTCGTCGTCATCAGCACCACCATCACCATCACCATCATCATCACCATCACCATCACATCATCATCATCATCATCACCACCATCATCACCATCACCATCACCATCATCATTGCCGTCATGTTCAAGAAAGAGGAATCAGGACACGTTTGAAGCATCGGGATGCCATCAGGCAACCTTTGAATTCAGTGGAGGCCTTCACTCCACCAGGTCCGGGATATCCGGGATCGGCGCTGGGTGAGGGCGACTATAGGGGATATCGCCGGGATATCAATGGATAAATATCACATATATCAATGGATAACAATGGATAACCAAGTTAGGGCAGTCCTCCTTTCTCTTCCAGATTCTTATTGGGATTTCACCCCGCAAACCTTTGACATCCTTAGACTATGGGGAATGGGGATTGAAACATCAAAACACAGAGTTTAAATCTAAACGCTAGAGTGCAGAGTTGATATCGCAAGAAAATTGAATGCCTCAAAAAGTTGCGTCCTTGAGACAGAATTCGCTTTTTGACACACCTGACTGGTGGGTCATGTATCAGCGCCCTGCATGGAGGATTCAGTACCACATGTTGTTTGGATCGTCGACTGGCTCCTTGTTGTCGTGCCTTTTTTTTCTTAATCGTTTCTGCAGGAAACCCTGTTTTTCCCGGACAGCTTGTTTTTAGCATGTGCGATTCAGCATAAGTTTTGCAATGGAATGCAAAGACTCAACACGACCAATCGTCCCTTCTGGATATCCAAAACTATTTGCATCTATGAATCATTGTTTGCATCTTTGAATCTGAATCTATTTGCCATTGTTTGCATCTCTCCCAGATTTGTCAAAAGTACTTTTACATCTTCCGTTTCGGTCTCGGCCGCCAGGAGTCTCGGTGCAAATGCCCCACTGCACTCCACGGGAAAGACAGGCCACAAATGTGATGTCCTGGAATGGCGATCTTTGCGGTCTGAAGTCTGGCATGGCATACCTCTTTGCAGACCATGATCAAAACTGGAGGTTTCCATAAATGAGGGTATCCTCAAAATGCTTGGTGTATAAGGGAAAAGCGGAAAATCCTTTATTAAGATGGATGATATAGGGCTACCCCTATTTCAGGAAACCTCCATTTTAGCTTGATATACGTACCTTGATTATTCAATGTTGGAACTGGAACAGAAATGGAAAGCGCAGTGTCGATGGAAAGCGCTTGGAATTGGGAAGTCACTTTGGGGATGGGATGGCAACTGGAGAGTTGCTCATCACAGTTGTTGACTGGACCTAGATACAGAGCAACCCCCCAAAACGACAGGTTTTGTCTGAAATGAGCTAGGAACATACCAAAACCGATGATCAAAACTTGAGTTCCCTCTAAATGACACTCAAACCAAGGCAGTCATTCATCAAAAGACTAAGCCATCATCCAATTGCGCCATGAGGCTGCAGCTGGGAACGGCAACTGGCAGGCCCAAGCGGGCCATCCAGGATGGTGTCGATGGTTGGTCAGATGAGTAAGAAATGCTTTGTATGATGTCACGGACATGTGACATGTTTAATCTTGCAGAGATTTGCTGAGTTTCCTTCCTTTCTTACCCATAGGATCCATGGTGCTGCTATCTATATATATATATGGTAACATGTACCATCAATATACCCCCAATGTTAGCATATATACCATACATGGATCCTATGGGTTATGTTTTCCAGAAGCTGAAGAGTCTTAAAGGCCCTTTTGGTGAACAGTCGAGGTTCCTTTTGATGTGAACCTGTGGGAGGTAATGCCTGCCATGGCAGAGAGACGGGGCTGGCCCGCGGCCGTATCCTTACAAGGCAGGTGGATCAGCGGTTGATGCGGTTGATGCAGGCCTCTATTTTGAAGAACCAAGAGCCAAGTGATGTGGAATTGAACCACGCCAGGTCCCGACCATCCTCTGTTTTTGCAATTTTTGGCGAAGGGGACTTTGAAATTGCTTCGTCATCTTTTACAATGATGTTATGATATGTTCTGATGTTGAACAGTTTAACTACTCGTACCAAAAGTTTAACGACTTCGTGGAGCGGCCAAAATTTTCACCCAGATCGGCGTTGGGAGAAACCCGATGGATTCCTAGCCTGGGAACATCCTGACGCCCCAAGAAATGGCCAGCCCCTTCTGTGGCAAGGACTTCTGTATGTTTGTGGTGGAAGAGACGAACAACGTGAACCCCTGAGTAGCCTGGATCTCAGGGAAAAACACCGGCTGCTCTCAGTTTTACAATGTTTTACAATGGTTTACCTTGTCCCTTTGTCGTCGCATATGTTCGAAAAAGCGCTCATGATTGGCTTCTTGTCCTTCAAAAGGCCTTTAAGTATCTTTAAGTTCTCCTTGCCAGTCCAGGCATGATGACTGTCCAAAAACATTCCACTCGCTGAGGTGTGGAACGCTTGAATCATTTCCCGAGCATTTGGCTTCCGTTTGCGCCTCAGCTGCCGTCGACAAAAATGAAAATTTGCGGAGTTGCGCTGATTTCGATCTGAGGCTTCCGGCAATGTCATCCCAACGCGCAGGTGGAGTTGGGAAATGTTGAGAAGAGAGGTTGAACGGTTGTGGTATGTTGTGGTTGTTGATCAAGATCTATGATATTCATTTGATATTCTATGATACCATATCAATCCATATCACCATATCCATTTACCAACTAGTTTGGTGTCCAAACCAGGAGATTCAAGGGATTTGACCCTATAATATCCATATGGAAATTACTGCCTTTTCATGACATATACGTCATCAATGATCCACTATAGATACTCTTACATACTATTATTACATACTATCGTTTAGAGAATGACAACTATGTTATCGACAGTCCAGTGAAAATCACTCCATTTCAGAATGATTCATGATACTTGAGGGTTTTTTTGGCTACAATGAATGGAACAAAACATGTCCATGTCGCGCCTGAAAAGATGCGACAGGGAGTGGATCAAAGAAACAACGCTGAAGCACCGCCAGTGATTCTGCGTGTTTGGCTGAAAGATATGTTGAAAGTAGTGTTGGTGACAGCTTTCCCTATCTTTCCCTTGGTTTTTAGGATCACCATTCCCAAAATGTCGGGGATGTTACCCAGTCGCCAGGTGCTTCTGCTGCGGCCTGCGGAGGGAGGCTGGGTGGATCAAATGCTTCGGGCTGCAGACAAGGTTGAACACCACTAATGTAAGGTGAGGTTCAGTCCCTTCAAGGTAGGAAGGTGTAGGACTATCTACTATATTCTACTATCATATAATATATAATAATTATATCTATTCTCCTGTATCACTCAGACCATCTCCACCAGTGGATCAACAATTGATCAACGAAAAACAACAGGAAAACTCGGCCATGGAACACCTCAATCTGTGGCTCTGGGTGGAGGCTTTATGTTTGTGGTGGCGCCTTTGGTGCTCAGATGTTGAATTCGGTCGAGCGCTTCGACCCAAAGGCTGGAATTCCAATGGAGAACCTGGGATGGAAGAGTCGTCAAGCGCTACATTGGGGAAATGTGTGGAATATGCATGAATATGCGTTTATTTTGTACTATATAATATTAGTATTGAATTAATATAATATATCGATAATTAAATATGTTTCTTAATCATGGTTACTCTCCCAAATTATCTAAATGTCTTTAGGTACTGTGACACGTGTCAGGTGGCGAATGTATTGAACAGCCAGGTTGGAACTTGGGAAACGTTACCTCCAATGACGGCACGCCTGGGGCCCAGTCTTGGCAGCATTCCAGGCCTAAGCTGCCAGCGGATGTTTTCAAAACAATGATTTAGCTCTATTATTTCAGATGATTTCAGATTCCTTTCACAACCCGAATGATTTTTTAACAGATCGTCCAATAAAGTTTAATAGCTTAATTAAGATGTCTTTCTTCAAATTATAAGATAGATTTCCTGCGGAAACAACCTGATGCCTCCTCTTGCTGCCTCTGAATCTCTTGAAGGCCGCGCATACGTGGCTGCGGCAACCATCGCTGGCACCATTCACGTCTTTGGCGGCAGTGATGGGGGCCAGGCTTGGACAGTTAGATCATGCATGATCCATTTGGGATTGTTTCAGCCATTGAAGAAAAACCTCTTAATTGGTGAGGATTTAATCATGAATTCTAGGGATTAGATGAGGTGTTAACTATCAAACATATGTGCTTATTGATAAATGATGGCTCAGGCTTATTTTGCAATGGGGGATTATGCTAACGCTTGGAGATTATGATCACCTAGAAAGATAACCCGTGATGAGCTACGTCTTCGTTTAAAGACTGGCGCACCTTAATACTAAGTACCTCTAAATACAAAAAACTCCTCCAGGTGGTGATTATTAGGGGGAGGACCCCGGTTTAGTATTAGGGGGAGAGGACTATATACATACCCCTCATATGTTCATTGTCTATTACTGTGTATATAAATGGAACCTGTTGCCTTCCACAGCCGGTCTGCGTTGCGGCACGCGGCCAGTGCTTGCTGTCCTCGGAACGTTTTGATCCGACGCTGAATACCTGGAGCCCCTTACCCGACATGAATGAGAGGCGGGTGGAGGGTGGTTGGGAAAACATGGGGGTAAGCCCAGAGCGTTGGAGCGTTGGAGCCTTGGATTAGTATATTGCTTGGATGATCTTCTCGGGTCTGGTCTTCTTTTACTTTCTTTGTTCAGGGCTTGGTGAATGTCCTGTCCTGTGGGATTTTGAACATCACTTTGAAGTATTTGTTGGAGATTTCTTCTATCCCCAGTAACTATGGGTGATGTTCAATTCAAAGGTTTACATGGTTTACCACCCCCTGTTGTTGAAACACTTGAACCACCTCAAGCAGCAGTGACTCACGTTTCTCAAACGGTGAGTCGCCAGGAGATCTGGTGCGGCCTCGGTGGCCTTGATGATATGAGGATCACCAGCCTGGCTGGGTGCCCCTGCATTTCGCTAGCAATAGAGGGGCCGGTTTGGTATTCTATCTATCATCATTTACCTGTTGTTAAAGGGGTAAACAAACCCTTCTATTAATCAACCAACCAATGGGAAAAGGACATCTATGTTTGTCACATTCCCCATGCTCAAGAAAGAAAGAAAGAAAGAAGTGAAGCTGAATATGAAGCTTAGATTCTAGTCTCAGTTCCCAGTTATGTGTTGCCTGTTTAAATTCTTGGTCGGTCAAGAATTTCAGAGTGACATACCAGGTCAAAAGTCAAAAGTGTTGATTTCCAAAAAGGATAGTCGGATAGTCTATAGCTCAAATGACCAACAAATCTGTGTGTGTGCGCAGCAACATTTGGAGTTGTAGGGGTGTATATTCCCTTGACGTGTTTGATCTCCTTCAAGCAGCTGCTTTCAGAGCTGCAGGCCTTCCCGATTTCTCGACACTGAACGGTTTCACCGAAAGCAACGCGCCGCGCCGGGCGCTGAAGTTGTATCAATAGGAGACTCTCCACAGACATCAACAAGGAACCATCACCAAAAAAGGGAAGGTAATGTCCAGAACAGCTAATAGATTTTGGTAGATTTTTGGTACCCAGGATATCCCAAGAAACTGGTCTATTATCCTAGACTTGTGGTGGATGGTAGTGGATGCTTGGAGGAATGCCAGTAGATGAAAGAAGATCATAGTGGCACAGTGGTTATTGACAGTGGATGACAGTATAGCATAGTATAGCAAATATGATAATTACTGTAATTAGTAAACATAGGATAGTGGCAAAACCAGATAAATAAAACCTCTCCCTCTCCCCCCCTGTCAACAAGCTCCGCACGGTGAGCGCCTTAAAAATGGGCTGCCTTGGGGGCATTTGGGCCGAGAACTTAGTCATGTAATGTGGATGGATCAATACCTATCGAATGCATTCGAATGCCATGTTTGATGGGGATGATCACCTCAAAATACCGGCTTTTCGGGGCTTCATCAGAATACCATGCTTTTGACCCACAGTCATATTATGTATGTTAGCCTCAAAAATGGTAGAAATTCCCCCTCCCACATTTCTTGAAGGCCACAGTTGTCTTGTCAAATGTCCAAGGAGGAATTCAAGGATGCTGCTAGATGCCTCCCATGTTTGAGGCAGACAATTTTGCGACACGTGAACATAGGATACAAGATCCACATTCTTTGATCTACATCCACTATAGTCACTATATCTCAAGTATGTGTGGTCGCGTATGTCTTTTTTTGACATGACTTCGGGTTTGGGATACGTGAAACGTCAGGAACCACAGATGTTGGTCCTTTTGCCGATGATTCAGATTTGGGGTATCACTGGCATATGATCCCTTCAAAAAATGGGGAAGAAATTGACCCATGCTTGGCTGATTCTTTTTCTGGGTATGTTTTTTTTGTGATGTTCTATCTTGAAGGATTTTCAATGATTTTTCGCAGAGATTTCACAACGGAGCCCCCAAGAGTTCTCCTACCTCGGCCCCGTCGAGCTCAACTGGCCCTGAGCGCACACCGCAACGCGAAACCCGCGCCGCGCCGCCAGGAAGGGGAAGGCTTTGGGACAGTAGATGGCAAGTCTGGAACAATGTTTCAATGGACAATGATTGGACAATATCTCTCAAAGATTGGAAAATATCTCTCAAAGATTGGAAACTGTGAAAAGGATTAGACACTCAAAGATCATTTATGGAAACTGATGAGGCTCAAATTCTTGAAACATATATATATATATACAATATATATAAACGCTGTTCTCGAAATTCACACCGTTCGAAACATATACACCTTTCTAATCCTTTCTAAACATATACACTCTGAACACAGACACACTTTTTACATCTTTTGACAATCTGAAATAGAATCCAATAATGAAGATGAAACCAACCAAACAAGGAGGATGTTGTAAAGAGTTTGAATAGTGGTTGATCCCTGGTTTAAAGGCTGTGGAAGTGAGTGACCCAGCGATTCCAGTGACAACCGTTTCGGTTCATGTTTCCAAGTCCTTGAACCGTTTCAGATAGCTACATCACATAATCCACAACAAATACTACGCATTTACACATTTGATGTGCTTTGCAGTATAGTCACATGTACATGCCAGAATGATAGATGATATAGATTCTGAATCATATTTGTATTATGCTGACATCTCACATCTCTAACTACCTATCTATACAATCTACCTATATCTTAGTCCTTATGTTTACCTATCAAATCCATCCAAGATCCATCGATCTAAGATCCATCCAATCCCTGTAGCAATTTTCTGTTTATGTTTACATCCTCTGCGGACTCCTCTCTGCAAAAAATAAATGTCCCAAAATGGCTACATTAATTGGCCCATTTGTCTAGGTGTTGTTTCATGTGAGATTCATCCAATTTCATAAACCATCCCCAAGTCATCACCATTTTTAATGGGGGTTGGATTTCATTTCAACCATCCCCAGTCATAGATCCGATTTCTGGCAGCCGGGTTGCCCACATTACTATTGCTGATCGAATATGATAGGGGGTTGTGTACCTTCAAATAAACCTATCGGGGACTATGAGAAGCCATATCATCATCGGGATACACAACCATGAAAATAGGTTAATAATATGCATTTCAAAATGGGATAGTGCATTATCATAGGGATTATTATTAATTCGCCTTCCAGGATGGATTTGGCCTTTGCCGTGGGCAACGCTGGAGCGTCGACCGACCTGGGCCTCGCCCGGACGTTGACGGGACGCGGGGAAGCTAAGTCCCCTTGGGTGCTGGTTTGTTACTGGTTTATAGTACAGTAACCCCCAACCAAAAGGGATGGACAAGTTAAATCCTACAGAATCCTACGCTTCATAGATTGGTGGTACTGGAAAATGAGTTGTTATCTCTGTTGGGTGTTAATTACTATGTAATAATGTAATACAATATATATATGATTATATATGTATTTATTGATGATTTACCATTATGATTTAGCCGCTTTAATCGTTCTGGAAAATGTTTATAAGTAATTATCAGTGTATATATATAATTTTATATATCGGTTTACTTGCAATATACCATTGTTTATCACCTTAGTGACAAGTTGATAACTATTTTTTTAAAAAAAAACATAAACTATAAGCCCAATGAGAATGCCCAAGATAATCATACAGGTTTGCCAGTATAATTATAATGTATTACTATTTTTTGGACCCCCCAATTCATCAATCTGGGGTTGACATTGTTGGGACCTATATTTCGTAAGTTGGGACCGGGATTTACCACTAATTAAAATGCTGCTTAAACATGTTGGCAAAGCCCACATATTGGATTATAAGTTGAACCACGTGGATGTTCATCAGCAAAAATTGTGTGCAAAGCCAACGAAAATGAGGGGGTATGGGTCAAACCAAAAACCACGCTTTGCTTTTGGAGAAAATCGTCGCAACTTTTGCCAGGAAATGACGGGATGTACAGCAATGCAAGGTACCCCCTACCAAGACAGTTTCCCCAACTTTGGAACACATTGATTCATTGATGCATCCAACTGCATCCGAGTGTCATGGTTTCAAGGTTTCAACAAGGATATGTTTGACAAGTTCCGAAGTTCTTTCCATGATGTGTCGATTCCTGGAGTTTGCTGTAAATCAACAATATATTACATTGTATGACAATTTGTTGATCTCTACAGGAGACAAGTAAACGACGCTAACACTTGTGTCCATGCTTGGGTTTTCCATATCGTTTCATGGGATGTGGTATACCTTCGTCAATCCCGCAGCGCGATCCAGGCAACAATGGGCTTCAGCGCAACTTGCGCTTAAAGGTCCCTAGTCGATCACTTCCAGGCACAGACCAGGTGGCTTGAAAAACTCTTCTCCCATGGTTCACAACGTTTTTGGAACCGAGGAATGCTTTTTTGGGTGAAAAAGGGTCACTGTAATCATCACAATTGAATCATAATAATGCCTGCTCCCAACCTTCCCACGGTGAAATATAACGTTTCGCACAGGCACTGCCTCGTCAAGCTCCGAATCTCAGCATTCTGGAAAAGGCGGAAGCGAAAAGTGGATGCCGAGAATGGATAGTCAACCACAATGATGGCCCGAAATACCAGTGAAAAGTCAGTTATAAGTCACCATTTAATTATGTATAGGAAATGATATGTTTTTCTATGGAATGATAAGCCCATTTATAAGCATGTAAACTGCCAATATTCACTTTGTTTGTTAAAGGACTTACTTTGACTGTTTGGATCTCTTTGGCAAACTAGGCAGCAAACGACCATAGTAGATCATAATAATGCAACATCGCCCAGTTGTTTGATGCTCACCCACTGAAATCACTGCTTTTCCATCTGTACTTTGACCTTTCAGTGTTGCTGAAATCCCTTGACGGTAGGGAGTGCTAGCCTGGCTGCAGGAAAAGCGTTGGCTGGCTTTGCAGCTGCTGCGGTGGCTGTAGCACTTCGGCTGATTCTTTGGATATTACATGGAGGGCATGCGGTGAAATGTTAATTCAATGTTTCAACACGAGTTTTAGCCAGATTACGTTTCATTCAAATTGTTGTTTCTGGTTTCAGATAACGTTGACCTCTGATTAATAACCCACCCACCCCACTGCGTGAAGTTAGGATTACCACTACATTATCGAATGCATGATTGGAACATTTTGGAACTTTGATTATTTTATTTAGTAAAGCCCTCCCTCTCCCCTACCTCCCCCCACTTGTTAACAAGGTGAACACATTCTATAGGGTTGAACCCTGTTTTGTTTTTTCTTCCGCATCCAAAGTGTCAGGCAGCTCTCATTAGATAATTAGTAACTTTATTTAATCATAGATCAACATCACTTGCTATTATTTTCCACCAGGGTACAGACGTGCACCAATCCCAGACTTAGGTTTTAATCAAGACTTGCAGCCACCCCCCCCCCCATGTTCAAGAATGAGAACCATATGCTCTTCAGTACAGTTTTCCCCCAAGAATGAATCAGTGGCTTGTGGTGTATTCATCCCATTGCTGAAATCCCCAGCATTGCTGGTGAAAACATCATGGTCGGTCGACCATTCTTTCCAGTGAGGTTTTCCCAAGAATCAATCCATGGAAAAGCATTGTGTTGTGAGGTGTTACATGGTAGAAATTCCATGGCTGAATAAGCTTAGATTGCCTGAAATATGCTTACTTCAATCCAATAAAACACAGTTGTGGTTCTATAATTTTATAAATTATGATTTTATTACATACAAAAGATGCGCCAATAAATCTAATGCATTTTTTTTATGATGTATATGATATTGACAATTGTATTGTGATATATCGTGATAATCAATGGATCTCTAAGACAATGGTGGTTTCTTAAAATGTTGGATCCCCAAAGCTTTCCAATACTAAAATGGTGAAAAATCTTGGATGATTTGGGGGTACCTCCATTTCAGGAAACCTGCATAGAATTGTAATATATTCTAATAGTTTCTGAATTATCTATGTACAAATATGTATATATAATTTGATTTACCCACTGGGGATCCCTAACATAGATGTGGAAAACCCATGGTTTTCCTATGAACACACTCTACAAATGGTTGATTTTCCACATCTATGTTACTTTACGATAGGCTATATGATAAAAAAATAAACGTGTTATTAGAAAATAGATTGTATATAAGTTATATATATATATATACTATATATTATATGGTGTATCTATATTTTATTACTATCTATCGATTGGGGTTTGTCCCTTGCTGGGTCCCAGGCGGCCCGTGGCCTCCGACGCCTCCGACGGATCCGGCGCCGGCAGGCGGCAGGGCCTCAGGCGCTTCACCTGGCTCCGGCTGCATGAGGGTCATTATTGGTAAATAATAGCGGTCATTACCCTCTGGTTATGTCAAAATAGCTATTGAAAATGATCATAGAAATAGTGGATTTTCCCATTAATAGCATGGTGATTTTCAATAGCTATGTTAGTTTACCAGAGGGTATCACTAATGATCATTAATGGTATGGTATGGCAATTAATAGTGGACATGATCATTTGTGATTAATGATGGAATGATGAATGGTGATTAGTGGAATGATCAATACCCTCTGGTAAACTAACATGATTGTGGAAAATCACTATTTTCAACAGGTAAATCAACTAATTATAACTTATTATAACTGGCCATTTTCAGTAGCTATGTTAGTTTACCAGAGGGTACCATCATTTTTGATGGGTAAATCAACTATAGCTATTATGTAGTAATTATAAACTATAGCTATGAAATAACCCCCTATTTTTTAATGGACTAGAATGTATAAACTAACATAGCTATGGAAAATCCACATTTTTGATGGGAAAATCAACGAACTAAATGGGCCATGTTCAATAGCTATGTCAAATTGCCAGTTGCCAGAGGGTAGTCCATGATATCCCATTATATTTCCATTATATCCCATTTGATATTATGATTGATATTTCCCGATATAGTCCATTACCATCGAGTCATTGTTCATGGTTAATGGCTGTTTAATGGATGCTTAAGCTATTTAATGGCTAGTTTATGGATGGTTCATGGATATTTAATGGACGTTACCAATGGATACACAAGCGGGAATTCATCCACCAGTCATTGTTCATTCCATGATTCGTCCATTTTTCTAGTGTGTCTGTATTCACAGCCACAATCTAGTTGATTAGTTTTATCATCCATCCTATTCCATTATAGTCCATTCATATTTTATACCCTCCAGTAATTTAACATAACTATGGAAAATCACCATGTTTAATGGGAAAGCTCACTATAAATGGCCATTCATATTTTATATTTGGTGATTTCTTTAGAGTGGAGGATTCCCAAGTCACCATGGCTGTTGAAAAATACTAAAATTGGACCTATAATTTGGATGATTTGGGGTACCTACCTCTCCAATTTAGGACACTTCCATGTATTTAGAATATATGTAGATCTATATATATATATAGATGTATGAGGTATAGGTCTGAAAAAAATCTTTCACTTGGAAGAATCTAGATTTTAGAAAGTAAGAATTCTGTTGTGACTGGTTCTGGAGGTTTTACCTTCACTTTTGTGGTGTTCATTTGCAAGAATGGGTCGTGGCTCACCATGGAGAATGCGTCATTAAAGGAATACAGCTTGCATCGAAAGGATTGGCCCTTTGAATGAAAATCAGTGCCAGGCTAAAAGATTTTGGGGAAGTATTGTCAGATGTGGGGTGAAGGCCACTAATCTCCGCCAAAAATATCACTAAGATAACTTAGAATAATATCAGAGTTTATAAATCTAGTGATATTTTTAATCCCTAAATATTATCCTTAGTGACAATTGATATTATCCCTAGTGATGAATGGATATCCACTAAATATCCATTGAACATATCTGCAGACCATCGACATCGCAGGTGAGCACCAAGTTGAGCCCCGAATCCTTGGGTCGCTGGGCGATTGCGAAGTTGGAGGCAACACTTTCAACAAGACACTTGTAGGGATTTAACCAGAAAATGTGGGATTCTAATGGGATTTAATCATGAATCACAGGATGTTCATGGGATTTAATCATGAATCACAGGATTCTAATGGGATTGAACCATAAATTATAGGAATTTAATGGGATTTAACCATCAAAGGGTGGTTTTAGTTGGATTTAACCATCAAAGTGGGATTTTAGTGGGATTTAATCATCAATTATAGGGGCTCAACCATCAAACATATGGGGATAACATTGATAAATGATGATTAGTTGATGGTTGTTTGGCGGTTATTACCCAATAGATATCAATAGATTGTTCAAACAATCATAATGGGGATCGCAATCAGCCACACTTTGGTAAGGATTTCCCAACAAGTTTTGCACACTGCTCAATTAAGGTGGACGTGCGAGTTGCAATTTGATCTAGTTGGATCTAGTTGGATTAAAACACAAGTAGTTTCTGTTGCTGATGTCAAATTCTGTTGGTCTGCTGATCTACAAGTTCTAATACCAACTATGATAACTATGTAAGAAAAGGTTTTTGTTGTCCAGCGCACATCCAACTTGGTGTCGACAACCTTACAGAGCTCGGGCAAGCAGGACTAGAGCCATAATACACATGTATGTAATATTATATATTATGTATTATTATATTATTATTTATAATATATATATAATCATATATTTCTAATCACATATATGTAATCATATATATACATATAATCTCATATATATATAATGATATATATATATATATATATATATATCATATAAATATAATCATATATATATATAATCATATATATATATATAATCACATATATATATAATCATATATATATAATCATATATATATAATCATATATATATAATCATATATATATATAATCATATAAATATAATCATATCATATATATATAATCACATATATATATATAATCATATCACATATATATATAATCATATATATATAATGTATAATCATATATATATATATCATATATATATAATCATATATATATAATCATATATATATATAATCATATATATATAATCATATATATATAATCATATATATATAATCACATCATATATATATATCATATTCAAAATACATACATGTATACATATATAATGTGTGTTAGTTTGGTTCAAAATTTGGTACCATGGTACCCTTTGCGAAGCCGGATGGAACACCGAGCTCAGGTTGGAAAGTGGACGACGATGCTGTATTGAAGCAACGGCTGGAGTTTGGGACTCAACTTTTGATTCATAGATGGACCTTTCTTGCTGCATTCCCAGAATTGGTATCGGTAATCCCATGTAATCTCCATATAAAAAACTCTGGTAATCCCATGGGTTTCTGACGATTTTCCCTTGAAACCAACGACTCACCAGGTTGGCTTTGGAGCGCGGAGGCTTGAGCGGTACTGCTCTGAAGCAAAACAGGTGGGAACCGGATCGATCTCAGGGGACGGAGGGGACGGGTCGATCCTACCGGCTGCACCATTTCCAGATCCCACCAGTTAAGAATTGCTAGTGCTGTAATCCCATCTCATTGGTAGCTAAACTTAGGTAGCTAAGGAGTGTTTATCAGATCTATCAGATCAATCTTTCTAGTTCTGTTGCTCATAACTGTAGAGTTACTCCTGTGAACAATTTTTGTCACAGTAAGATCTCATGATCTACCTCTCTTTCGGCGTGAGATGATCCAGATTGGCCTGTGCTCAGACAGTTTCCCTGGAGATGCTTGTGGAGATGTGGTGAGAGTAGAATTATGACCCCCAGAAAATCCAGAAATGATTTAAATGGACTGTCCACATAATTCCCATATTGTTTGCTGGTTAAAACATGTTAAAACCCCTATTGATAAATTATAGTTATTTATTTTAACTATATAAGTAGACTGTTTCTTACTATGGAAAAATGGATTCCTATTGGATTTTCTACAGGATTTCGACAATGGACTTCTTGCTGCAGCCGCAGTTTCCAACGGTAGCACACATCAGTGGTTCAGGCAATGGCCGAGCAAAGCAGAAGTGCTCCAGGCGATTCCTAAGGACACGGGGATGAGTAGGGTGAGTGAAGCTTACCCTCTGCGAATTTCCAGAATCTGCTTGGGAAAATGGCCCATTTACATCCATTTACTGTAGATGATTTACCCATTCGAAGTGAATTCGATCTTGAGCTGCAGCTCAATGACCAGCAGGGGATGGGGACTCAAACTGGAAATGATTTTCACAGGGGATTCCACAGGGTTTGACCCATCACCGTGTTTCATCTAATGTTGAGCTATATTATACATGAGCGAACATGCTAACCAGCCAGAAGGCGTTTTGGCCCTTTAGGGCATCTATTAAATACGTGCGCAGACAATCTAATAAGATATGTTTAGGGCAGGTTTAGGGTATTGAAGATTGGACATCGATGACCCATGCGAGAATGAGGTGAGGATTGGGGAGTCCTGATGCGAAGTTCAGCCACGAAATTCCCATGGCTCTGTGAATGTACATCGACCAGTTGTTGATTAGCTCCTTGACAGAAGATTAATTATATACCCTCTGGTTATTTAACATAGCCATGGGAAATGGCCATTTATAGATGGTTTACCGTTCTTAAAAATGGGTGGATTTTCCATGGCTATGTTAGTCATAACCAGATGGTATTGCCAAATGCTACCTCCCCATGGCCCCACGGTCCATCGTCGTACATCAACTATCGTTTTCTGGATTCTTGCATCAATGTCAATGTTCAAAGAGGCTCGCCATGGCTCACTTGTCGGTGCCAAGTGGTTAGCCTTGCCATGCCAGGCAAAACACTCAGAATCCAATCTGGTTAGTGACAAATCCCCCATAGATGATCTTCCCATTTCAGCACTGTATCAGGGATTTTGCAGCCATGTTTGGGGACACCGGAGGGTATGTTTCTTACCGGCATTCAGTCGACAAAAAAGATTGCTTTGAATCATGATCCATCACTTATTCGGCAATTCTTGCACCAATCAACCACCAATCAACCACCAATCAACCATCAATTAACCGTCAATTAACCATCAATTAGCCACCAATCAACCACCGATTAACCACCGATTAACCAATCATATTCACGATGATCCCAAGTGACCCACCAAACTGTCAGTGGATCCCAGGACTGCCTGGTGAAGCAGCACGGATCCCCGTTGCGGCACGGGTTTTCCTCCAAGCGGTGAAGAAAAAAATGTGCAACCTGCATTGAAGCAACTATCTACTTGGAACCCTGATAGAATTTCCCGCTTTCAATCTTAGTCTTATCGTCCATCTTCGCAATGGTGACTCCGATTGCCGAGACTTGAAATTGTCTAGATTGGCTGCAACCATCAAAATCAGAGAATCAGATTGCTCCGATGACGGGGGGAGCTTTCAAATTTTGGAAAGCACATGAAAAAAAAACACAAACATAGCTGCCCTGGACACTAGCTACCACTAAGGACAGGACGATCATTGGCCCATGCAGCGGCTTCCACCCTGCAGGTGCAAATTGATGAAGTCATGGCAGAGGTTGATGTTTAGAGATGATTTTTCTTGATGAACTTTACAAAAGTTATGGTGAAACCCTCCCAGTTTGGGTGAAATGAAAAATCTTTGGAGCTTTCTTGAATGGCTTCTGGGTATCATATTTTTGGGAAAAGCACGGCTTCAAAATGGGTTTTGACCCATAGTAGGCAGCTCAGAGTTGTGTCAATTGTTTCAGGCTTAAAAGATGTGGGAAAACCAAAGGGGATAGCTTTTTCATACCTGGTTGGTGATACTGATTTTTGACCAATCAGGTGAGTTTTTTTTAGCATCTCATACACAGTTTCACAGCTTGCTGGTTTCAATTATTTGGGAGACAGACAACCCCGAGGATAGATGATGATCAGATGATCTTTCATAGTTTTTCTGCTTGGTGACACCACCGTTTGCAGTTGCACTTGCCCTTGGGATTTTGGGGTAAGAAATATCTGTGACATGTCAGCGCGTTCACTTCATTGGCTTGCGTGCCACTTACAATATAGGTTGCCTCCGAGTTCTGACACTCACGCATGTGAGAAACAGAAAGTCCAGCTTGCAAGCTATGACAGCAGCTATGCATTTTGTATCGAGTCGTACCGAGATGTTCCAGATACTGCGAAGCTATGCATTTTGTATCATGGTGTCATGTTTTTTTTTTTGTGGCAAGGTTACCCTCCGGTAAACTAACATAACTATGGAAAATCACCATTTTTAATGGGAAAATCCACTATAAATGGTCATTTTCAATAGCTATGTTAAATTACCAGAGGGTAATGTCGGTTTTTGCCACGCATCATCCCGAAGATTCATGGTGGATGACCCGAAAGATTCTCTGCACGGAATCAGTTGATCCCTCATGGCAGGTGCTTTTTTGTGGCTATCTTGCGTGGAAGTACATTCCAATGTGCGCGGCTCATTGAATGTCTCAGGATTTCATATGGATGACAGTTCATGAAAGTTCATTCTTTTGTTTAAAGCCAGGCAATTTTCAGACATATCAGTTGATATTCTTCCCAACAAGACGCATCATGAAACTGTCAGATTGAAAGTCAAGACTCTGGAAAGAGTTGGTGCCGAGTTTATATGAATATATATATATAATATTATATAATTATATATATGTCCATTTAATGATGTTGAATAGAATGGTGATGGGTCTGAATTGCCAAGAGAACCCAAGCATTTAACGATGGTGTTTTCAGCATTTCTAATCCATCCATATACTGTGGGGTCCCCAATATTGACCTTCAAATACTCGAAGAGCTATAGAAGCATTATAAAATATATAGATCATGTTCATTATTGACAAGTTAACTCTAGAAATCTCTAGATCCATTCAAGTTAAGTGTAGAACCTATTCAAGTTTCTGTCTAGAACCTATTTCAGGTATATCCAATGACAAATGACTATTGATTTCCACATTCCCAACTCAGCACGTGCTGAGGACAACAGCGGCCATTCCGCTGTGGATTATCTATGCAGTCGTCCAAGGGACGCTGGCAACTGGACCCTGGGTCATTGGTTCCTTGGACTTCAAGGGCTTGCGATGCAGGAAACCCATGGAAACCCATGGGTTTTTACTGATGAAACATATGGGGATGGGTCAAAACCCTTGTACCCCTGTAGTTCACATCAAAATAGCTGGGATTTATGGATGTTCATCCCACTAAAAATGGTGTTAATAGGTATTGACCCATACCCATATTCCAATAACAAGAGCTGAGTCTTATCATCAAGATCGAGGGCGTGTTGGGATAGTTGTACAGATGTGTGCCTTTCTTCGAGGATTTATCCCGGTTTGATGCCCATTTGAATATGGGACAGCAAGGTTTTAAGCCACTGACCGTTGTTTCCCCCACAAAAGAATATGTGCAAGGCCATATTATACAATGGTCCCGGCTCAAAACATCATATTATACTGGGTCCTTGGTCAAGCTTGGGCACTTCCTCCATCAACAAGTTTATGGCTTCAAACCGTGCTTTCAAAAGTCCGCAAAAATTGTGAAGCGTTGAATAAATCATGTAACTTCGACAACTTTGGTGATAATATGGAAATCAATTGTAATCAATTTAATTAAAATCAATAATAAACTATCCCCGATTGGTCAACAAAAATCACCAGCATCTTGAAAGCTCTGAGCTCTAAGGCCACGAATGTGGCCACAGCGCCTTCTGCGATGAGAAGTGGCTGCAAACGACGGTGGGCTACGTACCTGCGCCCAGTTTTTCCCATGGTTTTCTACAAGCAGATCATTTGTGGGTTGCATTGGATATAGTGAAAGTGTAATGGGCTATATATAAAATTAGGAGATTAACCTGCAGTGGTAATGGGAAATCCCCAGATGATGTTCTCATGAATGGTCACTCACTAAAAGTGATGTATGCATGCATCCTTTCATGATGGTGATGATGGGTCATGAAAATCGCAGTAAGAACCAGTATCATCATCAATATTGAAACAGCATCATGATGCGAAACCGATTTTGGTAAATACGATATCAAGGTATATCAAGATATACCAAGATATCCCTGCTGTTTGTTGATGATGCTTTAAAATTTTAAAAAACAAAATCCCATACTCTTCGTTTATTTTGCTGATTAGTTTTCCTTTTGAAACTTGCCACGCTTGTTGGCACCATCTTCAAAACTCCGTCTTGGTTTTGTTTGAAAATAGTCGACCCCTACACTTGTTGGCAAACACTTATTTTCCATATTAGATGTGCATAGAATGGCACAGATTTGGGCTAAAATGGTGCTAAACCCACGATTTGGTACTTGCTGAAACCGATTGCAGGTGAATCGTAGACAGAAGGGGGGTGGGGAAATTGGTCATGTTATTTCATGTTATTTCATGATTCATTTGCCAGTCTGACTCAGTCTTTGCAAATGGAACTCTGTTTGGCCATTGAATTCCTCCGTTTTTTTCAACGGGAAAAAAGGTCCTGCACACCGCTTTGATGGCTCGGAGACTCAGGGGATGGGGAATCAACGGAATCCAAAGATGGTTCAGTTGACTTCATCAGTCATGGGTTTTGGAGGTACTTGAAACATCTTGAAACGGTAAAACGGCCATAGATCAGTTTACATGCGGGAATGACCATGGTGTTTAGAGCATCCCAAAGATCCACTTCATCATCAGCTTCCATCATTTTTCCCAGTTGTTCCCTATCATTTGATGGCCATTGGGGGCATCTCAATCTCACATTTCGCCCTGAACAGCCACGACGCAAGCGGCCGAGGTTCCATATTTTTCCTGGCAGCGCTCCCATGCGGTGCACCACGCTAAGACTAACCACATGACCGAGGGTGAGACACACGTTCCCAGGTGACACAGTTGATCCGGGGCTGCGGGCTGGGTGGATCGCAAATAGATGTTGCAGGTCGCTTGGAGATATATGAGATATGAGTTTTAAAGCTGTTTGATGATGTTTGATGCATCGGAAAGTTGCACAGGGTGACGGATCACCAATCCTCCAATATAAGCCAGTGACTCATGTGAATCGTCGCGGCAGACATTCACTTCCACTATCTTCAATTCTATCTTCCACTCGGACTCTATATCGTTTGGTGATAAATTGGTTTTCCGAGATTCAGCACTAAAATTTGTTTCAGGAAATCAGCCGCAGCGGGCAGGTTGCAGAAGGGCGAGAAGAACAAGTACAAGACGATTGCTGGTTTGCTGGGTCAGATCCTGAGAGTTGGATCGTAATTTGCCGGTGTTTTTTTCTTCTCGATTTGGTGAGGGGCAAGTCCCAAAAAAGATGTGTGTTAGTAGAATCCTACTAAAATAGTGATCATATAATATAATATAATATAGACATATAACTTATAACATATATAGATATATAATTATATATAATCATGTTATATCCTTTTATCTATTTGCGGGTTTACTATCGAGGTTTCCAGGACTCTCTATTTCCAAGATGACCTGATTTTTTGGCCAGTCGTGGGTATGGTGGTTCCATGGCCACTGTCCATCGGTCTTGGCTGGTCCAAGGTCAAAATTTTGTGGCCTGCACTCGCCTCCTCACCCACTTGGTCATGGGCTGGCCAGCGTGTCTCGACAGAGACTTTACCACGGCTGGTGGATGCTGGTGGTCTTTGAGTGTTTTTTGGGAAGTGTCCAATCTGTCCAATGTTGTGTTTTTTTTCTCGACCCGTATTTGGAATGAGGATGACGATGACGATGATGATATGATTGATGATTATTGATGATGATTGATGGATTTGAATTCGGCAGGAACCCAAGCCGCCTCATTTTCAGGGAGGAGACCTTGAAGGGTCATGATTCTTTACCAAGGGGCATTTTGGAAGTCTTTGTGGAGTTCAGAGGGCAACCGGACTTGTTCTTGTTGCCTGGGTAACTTTTTAAAGAGCATGTTAGACCCCACTGATAGCATATGATTCTTTACAGATGAGATGTTATGGTCTAACAGCTGGTGATCCTGGGTGTCAAAAACTGTCGGTGGTTAAGCGGCGTCCTTCGGTGGTTACTTGATGTTACTTGTATTTCTTGACTTCTTTGATTTCACGTGATACGTTCATCAACAAATCCCGCAATGTTTTGAGATGTTGCATAGGTCTGCAAGTAGTTACACATCCTTTCATGGTGAAAACCAGGTGAGCAATCGCGCAGTCCAATGGTGTCCCGCCTCTCCAAGGGGATTCCTAGCCCCAAAAATGGGGCGGCCAGGTACATCGTTGGTGGAGCCACTGGTGGCCCTGCTTATGGAAAGACCAACCACATGTGGTGGGAGCCCTGCTGGGATCCAATGGCTTCCACATGGGATCCACATACCCTCTGGTTATGTCAAAATAGCTATTGAAAATGGCCTATTTATAGTTGATTTTCCCATTAAACATGGTGATTTTCCATAGCTATGTTAGTTTACCAGAGGGTAGATCCAATCATAGAAATCGGGACAAGTTGGATGGGCAATGTTCCTCTATATTTAGCCAATTTAGCCAAAGAAAACCCCCCCTTGAGCAACCTTGAGCAACCGGTTGCAGCGGGCAGTTGATGATCTAAGATCATGATTTTGCAGTGTTCTGGGGGCTTCAAGACCCTGATTGATTGAAGCTAGTTCAGTCCTACAGCACGCAATTTCCATGGCCCAACACTTCAATTTCTGATCCGAAACCATCTATTTGTCATTGCTGGATCCACATTCCTGCATACCTCAAGGCCTTTCGCGCCTTTCAGCAACGGAGAAAAGGACCTCTTTCCTGGCATGTGGAAGAAAAAGGCCTGGGAAGTGGGATGGTCTTCGAAAAAGGAAGGGCGTCCTATCAGGCATGAAAAAGTGTGACAGCTGTCCCTTGCTTCTCGAGACATCTATGAGCTGTAGCATTTGTAGCATTCTCCGATCACTGTATTCCTTGTTTTGGAGGCAAGAACCCTATGCTTGATCATCAGAATCAGAACGAATCTCCAAATGATATATGTTCCGTATAGTTTCACCTGCAGGTGAACTCAAATTTCTCCATAAATTCTGCAGTGATTTTCACTCAACGAATTTCTGCCATATTCTTCATGATAATTTCCATATAGTTTGCAGGCCAATTTTTTTAGGTTCCGGTGGTTCCATGTTTTTCGCCAGGTCTTAATGTCGGACGTGGGAATCCTTGGCATGGCTGGCCTCTTGTTCTGGTGGGCCCAAAGCTCAGCCGGTGGCTCAACCATGAGTTATGAGTTAGATAAGTTGACTATGTTCAACCATAAATAGATGGTTCGTTAATATGTCATTAGTAGAAGATGGTTAGTTATGGTTGGTTAATATATATATATATTAATATATATGTTAATATTACGCTATTAATAGAGTTAACGTATCTAATGGTGAAGCATGAATGGTTGAAATAGATATAATTAATCATAATTATATATATATGTAAAAGTTTGTAATGGTTAATCCATTAATATAGATGGTTAGTTAATACTATGCTATTAATAGATTAACCATTAGAAAAGTTGAGAAAGGTCAACAATTCATCCCATTCTTCAACCAAATCAGGTTACGGTCCTGTCCAAGAAATATCCATAGGTCATTGACGGTCAAATTCGTCCACTGTTCTCAACCTGTGCCTCCTGATTTTGTCCACGTTATCTTCAAAAATCCTAAAATCATTTGACGTCACTAAAGTCATCTAGTCATCTGATGATGATATTACTGACTGATGCTTTTTCCGAAGTAATATCCTGGAATATCAGTAAGTATCAGTAAGTGATATCACTGAAAAAGTCATCTAAAATGCCACTAAAAATCATCCAAAATTCCTGATCGATCCCCTGACTCCGTTCACGTTCGACGTTCGTTCTCCGATTCGAGGCCAAACATGCCGGCTTCGCCAGCGTTTTCGCGTTATACCTGGCGCCTTTGATGGTTCGGGATCCTGGCGATCCCATTTGTGGTGAGTGATGGTCCAACTGGATATGGGGATGGGTTAAGTAACCATAAGTAACCATATGGGTATGGGTCAATACCTATAGATACATTTTTAGTGGGATGAACATCCATTTACCAGCTATTTTGGGGTTCACGAGGTACCAGGGTTTTGACCCATCCCCATATGAATCATATATGAATGGATAGACAGCTATGACTTAGGGTACCGTTTGGGTGCCGTTTTGACGAAACCATAGGGTATTGGACAGTTACTTGCTGATTATCACATGAATTCTTGGAGTTTTTTGTGATAGTCCGGTAATATGACTTTATGATATCAACTGGGATAGTTATTGAATGATGATTCATGAAGTGATCAGTTTTACCCTTTCCAAGATTGGGACTGGGGTAGATGTTGATCCATAGCTGCCATAGCTAGTGTAGTTCTTGAAGGAAAACTGTTGTTTCATGTTGTTTCTACAAAGTAAATCTTAAAGTAAAGCTGCTAAAGCTACATGAAACTCATCCCATGAAAGTTTCACACGCAGTTGGGAGGCTATTGCTGTCATACATTCCAACCTGGGATGAGATGACCATGCCAGGTCACAAACTGCTGGCTGGTCTTGTACACCTGGTTGCAGCATACTGACGTTGACATCCCACACTACGACAAGGCCGTGGCCGATACCGACCGACATGGCCGAACACCCGAACACGACACACAGCAGAACTCCCAATTTCATCCAATTTCTATGAAGCTGCCATGGCATTTTCTGGTTGCCATTAATGTGATGATTCCAATGTGATTCCCATCCATTTATAGCATGCGATCATTTGTTTTCGGGACCCTCCGGTGTCATCATGGCCGTGGCAAGCTGGAGAATCCCCATCCAAAAAAGGTGGATTGGACCCAGCCACGTGACTGATGACACCGGAGGGTATTGATGGTAGGTTCATGTTGATTTGATTAGTTACATCATGTTACATCCCATAAAAATCTCCCATTGACCATTGAATCCCATTGGAAGCTAGTTTTATGACAGTTTCGTTGACATTTTTCCCTCCATGGCATGGTTCAGGAGAACTGGACCTGGGTGAAGGGCGCATTCCACACAGTGGACCGGCCCTATGGCCACTTGGCGATGTCGATGCCATCCATGTGGTGCCGGATGCCATTTTTCATGTTTGTTGATGAATGTTGATCCCATAGGATCCATGTATGGCATATATGCTAACATTTGGGGTATACGGTATATTGATGGTAAATGTCACCATATATAGCATGGGATGAGTTGTTTTGTTGAATCTCTTCCGGAAAACGGTCCGGCTAAATGCCAATGTTCCTTGCACTCCAGGCCCAGTTTTGGATTACGTCCACCACAGGCGCTGGAAACGATTCTTTGTGTTTTGTGGAAAGACTGGAAAGACCAATGACTGAAGACACTATTGTCCTGACTCATCATACACAATTGATTCTTGCCAGCTTATTTTCTAGCAACATGGACTGCTCAGACCCTGATGTAAAAGCTAGCAGCTAGATCACTACAAGTCCCCAATCCCATTTCTATTCTTGTTTGAATCACCATGACATGAACGATGCACCAATTTCTTCAACTTATCCCGAACTCAATGGAGGTCTCAATGGGAAAATCATCGGTCCGTACATGGTGAATTCTCCGAATCCATGTTTGATCTAAGCCATAATAAGCCATTATAATACATATATATATATTATATTAAAGCCATTACAAGATATTATAATAAGCCATAATAAGCCATAATAAGCCATCAATCTGACAATTTGTTTAATAAGCCATTATAATTATATATTATTAAACAACTTATCATATTGAAGGACTGTAACCTGTTTCAGGCACTGTAACCTGCCACTGAAAGCTTCACGCCGCCAGGATAGGCTCCACACACGTGGCACATCATGTGTGCGCAGCCATCCCCTTCTACAAGGCGCCAACCGGTGCAAATGAAAAAGGTGTAGTTGCGGGCAACTCGATGGTTTTTCCAATGTTGTTCATGTTCTTTCCATATTGTTCCCCAGGTTTTCTATGGTTTTCTCCATGGGAAACCCATGTTTTCAATTGTTCTATATCTTTTCCCAACATGTTCCACACCTTTCCCTACGTTTTCTCTATGGTTCCCCAATGTTTTTTCCCTCTTCCCTCTGGGGAGAAATAGATTGAAGCTCACGAACATCACCTTGGCACACCGAGGCTAGAAAAGCTACTGAAGCGCTGAAGGTATGGGAGGGCTTCTCAACCATCCCTGATTTTTTCATGGCCTTTTATTTAGGTAGATAGATAGATAATTAGGCATATAGATAGACATACAGATATATAGAAATATAATATATATATATATATACATATAAAGATAGATGTTTTATTGCTAAATAGATGGGACAGATTGGGATTTTGTTTTCACATTTAAATTATCTCTGATATTCCCATGAAATTTTAGGGGTGTCCTATTTCTAGTCAAGGTCACCTGGCCACTTTCTATCGCATCCTGCAGCGATGTATTGTGTTTTGTCACTGGAACTCCATTAAATTCAACAAAATCACAATGGCATGTTAGCGATGAAAAGGTGACAGGTTGCTGATGGTGAGAGCAATGGAACATTGGACAGGAGAAGTTCCCGGATCTCTACCTGTATGACCCCACGCCGATCCACAAGGCTGCGGGCAGTATGGCACATGGTAGTATCATGGTAGCCCTGTAGGTCTGTCATGGTTTGTATAGGTGTGTTGCAACATGGGGTTGCAGACAAGGAAAGTGGACATTTGGATACAGTTGGAGTGGATCATACTAAACCCATGACATGTGACTGACACATTCTCAAGCCTTATGAAAGCTACCCAGACTTGCGGATTTATCTCAACTGTGGCCGATTGGGTGACTCCAAGCTGGCCCCTGAAGGCCTTGTGGCGAGTTGCTTCTCGGTGCACCGCTGTCCAGAAGGCAGTTGATATCAATTGATGGTTTCTGGGTTTCCATGGGTTCCCCAAACCTTTACTCAATCAGATAGAACTGATATAACATGATATAACTCAATTTGCAGAAATCTTCACCGCAAGGGTGAAACGGAAAAAAAACAGAGTATCTTAAATTCACCAGCAAGGAACTTGGCCATGGGAGGCCCGGGATTTTGCACATCCAAGGATACATCGAGATGATCGTATTAAGAAGGTATTGGTGAATGTCAAACAATAATGGAGTTGGTTTCGATGTTTCATTTTTGTTGATACTTTTCCGGACACCTCCATTTTAGGAAAGGAACATCCGAATAGCGTGGGAATCCACAAAGCGGGAGAAACAATGAGAAACATGGATGGAGATACCAAAAAAGTCACCAGCTAAGTCAGCGGTGGCACCTCTCGCGCCCTTCGTCAGGCCAAGGGCGGTGAAAAGGGCACGTACATTTTTACCTGAGTTCCGCAGGAGAATTTTTGTGAGGTCGGATGTGCACCCCTGATCTGCTTGATCAAAGACTAGCAATTGCCGAAGGGCGGTGCCAGAGCTATTGTCAGCTGCCCGACCCGAATGGTTTTCCAAAGGTTTCCGAGAACCAAGAATGTCGCTACCGTCGACTGGATGGTTCAATTCAACTATACAGTTTTCTCCATCTGCCAATTTGTGCTTTTGAGATGGTATTTACTCAGCGCTGCCGGTCCGAAACCCCGCTTGATCACAGAGCTTTCGCTTTTCCTGATGTCATTGTGATGTGTTTCGCTTCGCCTTTTTCTTGGGAAATCAAAATTGGCATGCGCAGGAGGACATACCGAGTTATTCCATTTTCACGGCACATGACTTCGAGTTCGAAGGGGTGTCACTCTGGCCATGTTGCCCATGGACACATCAAGATGATCATGGAAGGATTCCCGTATTTGTCCTTGCAATAGGTCTTCAATATTTATTTGAATCCTAGGAGCAATGTCTTTCTCGTGCTGGTTTTAATTGTTTTTTTGCAAAAATCTATAGGTTAGCCAGTCATACAGATTCACTCCGGTTGTTGTGTTTGAAGGTCACATCCCTCCGGCGGCCAGTCCAAAACGGCTGCGCTACGTTTTCGCCATGTGCAATTTCAGTTCCATTTCTTGGACGTTCTTTGATACCTTCCTAAACAGGGAGGAATTATCAAATATTCAAGAGAAATGGAATTACTCAAAATCAACTAGCGATCAAAACATATCTAATATGAATATAAAAAGAAAATAAAAGAAAAATATATAGAAAATTAAATAAATTATAATTCCCTACCTGCCAGGTGAGGGTTGTTAGATTTTATCAGAATTGTTCTTCTCCTCCTTTTTTTCCTCCTCCTCCTCCTTTTCCTCCTCCTCCTCGTCCTCCTCTTTTTCCTCCACCACCTCTGCCTCCATTTCCATGTTCACTTCCACTTCGCCAACTTCCGCACGCAGTGGGCACTGCTGGACCTCAACTGAGAGGGTCTGAGCGCACTGGGCACTGCTGGACCTCAACCTGGGACCTTCCGAGCTCAGTGAGCACCGCTGGACCTCAACCTGGGACCATCCGAACTTGGTGAGCACCGCTGGACCTCAACCTGGGACCCTCCGAGCTCAGTGAGCACCACTGGACCTCAACGGCCAGATAGAATCCCAGAAAATATATCAGATAGAATATCAGAAAGAATACCAGAAGATATGCCAGATAATATAATATAATATAATATGTATATATATATATATAATTTT